TACTATTCAAGAAATAAGAGGTAGGCCTACCTGTTTGACAGACAAAATTATAGTTTACTATCCATAGATTTTGTCAGCCAATTCCTTCAGTCACCATGCACTTCTTAAATATCTCAGTGTCAGTGAAGGGCTTGGTGTGTTAAGTTAAAACCAGGGCTCGAATTGAGGGGGTATGTCAGGGTATTGTGACGTTTGTTAAAGAAAATGTGTTTGTTAAAGAAAATGTCTACCCATTGTTAGCTTAAAATGTGTAAAAGAAAATTAAATGGACCTGATTATATAAAGTGATAATGACTCTTTAGTCTGCAATGCTTAATGGTAGCAACATTCAGAGTCTGCGTACAACATTCTACAGCCGAGGAGACAGAAAATGTACTTTGCTTGGGAAGTAATATGTGATTCTGTCACTATCAATTGACGTTCAACATTTCAACAGGCTATTAACAACATACTAACTCTAAATCAGTCAGGAACAAGCCAGGTAGCCTAAGAAAGAACGAAAATGTATTATTTAGGCTATATTATTATTTCAAGTTTATAGCCTGCCATTTAAGAAATTAATTGTGAACCATTTGTGACACGCTACAGGCTGGCAGGAGCGCTCAGCATATCAACAACATGCCTATATATTTCACATTTAGGCTGTATAAAATGAAATGTAAAAAAAACAATGACTTTTTTTTTTTTTACGAAAAATGCCTTATTAGGCTATGAAGTCATTCAACAATGACTGAATTCACTTTTAGAAACATGAGTTTGGCCAGTCCTTGGTTTGAGGATCATGCGGTGAGCTATGCATGCCTAGTTTGTTAATTTAGTCTAGCAGATGCTCTTATATTCCCATGCCATAATCACAGTCAACACAAATCTATTTTGTAACAACAATATCATGGCATGAAATAGAATAAATACAAAAATGGTAGCTTCCCAAATAAAAAAAGTTACAAGTGTATATAGGCCTACCTGATGATATGCGGCTGCTGTGTTAAACAACTAATGTTTTTTTCTCAAATTCATTGATGATCAGATACTTCAGTTGTAACTGGTTCTGTTGCGCTCAGTTGATAGACAACTTTAGCACTGATCCAAACATAGACTATACACTTCTTTAACAATAGCCTGTACAGAAATCAAAACGACTCTGGTCCTGCAGCATGCGCTCATTCGTTGTCATGCTCTATTGTGGTATTAAAAAAGATTCTGCTCATCTCCTGTCATGTAAAATGACATAGAATTGCTTGAAATGCGTTAATAAAAGGCAATTTCTTCTCAGTCTGCAAATAAGATGATAGATTCATGCAGTGCTTTTATTATAATGGAGATATTTTCTCCCCTACCCTAGTCCGCAGTGGTCTGTGAATCCACAACCTTCTGGCTACTTTGCCATGTAATGCTTAAAAAAATAGAAAGTACTCACACATCTTGACTTTTTCCACATTTTGTTGTTTTACAAGGTGTGATTCAAATGGATTTAATTGTCTTTTTTTGTGTCAACAATCTACACAAAATATTCAGTAATGTCAAAGTGGAAGAGAATTCGTAAAACAATTATGAAAGATAAAACACTAATATCTTGATTAGATAAGTATCCAACCCCTTTAGTCAATACATGTTATAATCAACTTCGGCAGAGATTACAGCTGTGAGTCTTTCTGGGTAAGTCCCTAAGAGCTTTGCACACCTGGATTGTACAATATTTGCACATTATACTTTTAAAAATTATTCAAGCTCTGTCAAGTTGGTTGTTGATCATTGCTAGACAGTTACAGTGGCTTGCGAAAGTATTCACCCCCCTTGGCATTTTTCCTATTTTGTTGCCTTACAACCTGGAATTAAAATGGATTTTTGGGGGGTTTGTATCATTTGATTTACACAACATGCCTACCACTTTGAAGATGCAAAATATTTTTGTGTGTGAAACAAACAAGAAATAAGACAGAAAAACATGAGCGTGCATAACTATTCAACCCCCCCCAAAAGTCAATCCTTTGTAGAGCCACCTTCTGCAGCAATTACAGCTGCAAGTCTCTTGAGGTCTGGGCTTTGACTAGGCCATTCCAAGATATGTAACTGTTTCCCCTTAAACCACTCGAGTGTTGCTTTAGCAGTATGCTTAGGGTCATTGTCCTGCTGGAAGGTGAACCTCCGTCCCAGTCTTAAATCTCTGGAAGACTGAAACAGGTTTCCCTCAATAATTTCCCTGTATTTAGCGCCATCCATCTTTCCTTCAATTCTGACCATTTTCCCAGTCCCTGCCGATGAAAAACATCCCCACAGCATGATGCTGCCACCACCATGCTTCACTGTAGGGATGGTGTTCTCGGGGTGATGAGAGGTGTTGGGTCTGCGCCAGACATAGCGTTTTCCTTGATGGCCAAAAAGCTCAATTTTAGTCTCATCTGACCAGAGTACCTTCTTCCATATGGTTGGGGAGTCTCACACATGCCTTTTGGCGAACACCAAATGTGTTTGCTTATTTTTTTCTTTAAGCAATGGCTTTTTTCTGGCCACTCTTCTGTAAAGCCCAGCTCTGTGGCGTGTACGGCTTAAAGTGGTCCTATGGACAGATACTCCAATCTCCGCTGTGGAGCTTTGCAGCTCCTTCAGGGTTATCTTTGGTCTCTTTGTTGCCTCTCTGATTAATGCCCTCCTTGCCTGGTCCGTGAGTTTTGGTGGGCGGCCCTCTCTTGGCAGGTTTGTTGTGGTGCCATATTCTTTCAATTTTTTAATAATGGATTTAATGGTGCTCCGTGGGATGTTCAAAGTTTCTGATATTTTTTTATAACCCAACCCTTATCTGTACTTCTCTACAACTTTGTCCCTGACCTGTTTGGAGAGCTCCTTGGTCTTCATGGTACCGCTTGCTTGGTGGTGCCCCTTGCTTAGTGGTGTTGCAGACTCTGGGGCCTTTCAGAACAGGTGTATATATACTGAGATCAGATGTGACAGATCATGTGACACTTAGATTGCACACAGGTGGACTTTATTTAACTAATTATGTGACTTCTGAAGGTAATTGGTTGCACCAGATCTTATTTAGGGGCTTCATAGCAAAGGGGGTGAATACATATGCACGCACCACTTTTCAGTTATTTATTTTTTAGAATTTTCTATCACAATATATATTTTTCATTTCACTTCACCAATTTGGACTATTTTGTGTATGTCCATTACATGAAATCCAAATAAAAATCATTTAAAATTACAGGTTGTAATGCAACAAAATAGGAAAAACGCCAAGAGGGATGAATACTTTTGCAAGGCACTGTATTTTCAAGTCTTGCCATAGGTTTTCAAGCCAATGAAAGTCAAAACAGTAATTAGGCCACTCAGTAACATTCAATGTCGTCTTGGTAAGCAACTCCAGTGTATATTTGGCCTAGTGTTTTAGGTTATTGTCTTGCTGAAAAGTGAATTTGTCTCCCAGTGTATGTTGGAAAGCAGACTGAACCAGGTGTTCCTCTAGGATTTTGCCTGTGCTTAGCTCTATTCCGTTAATTTTTATCATAAACAAACTCCCTAGTCCTTGCCCATGACAAGCATACCGATAACATGATGCAGCCGCCACCATGCTTGAAAATACAAAGAGTGGTACTGAGTGATGTGTTGTGTTGCATTTGCCCCAAACATAACGCTTTGTATTCAGGACATAAAGTTAATTTCAATGCCACATTTTTTTGCAGTTTTACTTTAGTGCCTTATTGGAAACAGGATGCATGTTTTGAAATATTGTTATTCTGTACAGGCTTACTTCTTTTAACTCTGTCAATTAGGTTAGTATTGTGGAGTAACTACAATGTTGTTGATCCATCCTCAGTTTTTTCCTATCACAGCCATTCAACTCTGTAACTGTTTTAAAGTCACTTTGGCCTCATGGTGAAATCCCTAAACGGTTTGTTTCCTCTCCAGCAACTGAGTTAGGAAGGACGCCTGTATCTTTGTAATGACTGGGATTACTGATACACCAATCTAAGTGTAATTCATAGCTTCACCATGCTCAACTTACTATGTGACTTGTTTTTTACTCCTGAACTTATTTAGGCTTGCCATAACAAAGGGGTTGAATACTTATTGACTCAAGACATTTCCGTTTTTCATTTTTAATGAATTTGCTAAAATTTCTAAAAACATAATTCCACTATGACATTATAGGGTATTGTGTGTAGGCCAGTGACACACAATCTCAATGTAATCTATTTTAAATCCAGGCTGTAACACAACAAAATGTGGAACAGGGGTGTGAATACTTTCTGAATGCACTGTACATGCTAGATATAGACTTTCTCTGTATATAGGCATACAGAGAAAATAGACCGTGAGGCAAGTCAGTCAGGAATACTTGAGCTAGAAATGGCAGAGTTGGGGAGTAATATGAGAGAGAGAGAGTGTGTGAGAGAGAGAGAGAGAGAGACAGAGACAGTGAGAGATAGAGAGTTGAGAGAGAGAGAGGGTGGACAGCTCCAACTCACTGATTGACAGAGACAGGCTTCTAGGCCTACACCAACAGCTGAGTCTAAGAATGGTGGATGTGAGGATGTGGATACAGTACACAGGTTATAGATATAAATAGAAGACACATGGAGGAGACCTAGTTATTTAGAATGCTACTGACATTTACAGTAGATAGTTAAAGAAAACAAAAATGTAATCACAGAACTGTGGGTCAACCAATTCAACTGGGACAGTGTTTGGCAGCTCTAGCGCTTACATTAATCAAATATCATTGCACAACTTCACACTGTTCATAATGAGTTGAAAGATGTTATTAACAAAGTGCATACTCAGCATTAATGTAGTCTTTTTTTGGGATGCACTCAAATACCACAATAATCACATTAACAGTAGGCTACTTGCTGATTCACTCACTACATTCTGTAACCCCTAAAAACTTTGTAAAGGTAATGTGACACCTGCAACGGAGGGATATACCAAAGTCGAGAACATATGTCCCACTCTGTGGGGGTTGATGAAAGGGCGAAGGGGTGGAGACAGGAGCTGAGGGGATGTGGGACAGGGGAATCTCTAACTTCAGCTCTAACAGTTGGACTTTACAGTCTACTGTATGAGCACAAGGACAACGCACACGCCATTGTAGATGAGCAAATTTTTTTATGCTGCATGAGTAAGAGGTGGGCAGTTACCTCAGCAATAACAGGAAGAACAGTGGCAACACGTGGAAGTAAATCCAAAGTGGAAACCTAGTCAAGGTCAGACAAGGCAGGATTAAAATATTCTTCAACTGCAGAAAACTGCAAGATATTAAATAACAAATTAAGTGCAACATTTGTGGAAATGGGATGTACCAACTGTGTTGGATACAGGAGGTGAACAACTGGATTTTATAGTGTACATTCAAATAAGTGAGTTTCTGAAAGGTAGAACACCTGCCACATCTACACATGAAGAGTTGAATGTCAAAAACTTGCAGAAGATTGCATCTCGATTGAATTACCAAACCTTTGGATTGATTCAATGAAAAGTGATTTACATCAACTGAAGGTCTTGTTTTTGGATTATAACATGCAGGATTGGTAACTCACACTGGCATAGTAAGCAATACAGAAACAACAACCCACAGGATCATTGGATACACACATGAACTATAGGGTGTAGTCTTCCAGAGGAAGAGATAAAAGCTTAATTATTTTTTCAGTTGAGGCTAGATTCAGTGAGTTGAGATGTTTCTCAATACCATTCTGGTGGTCTTGACTGACCTAGCAGCCGGATTCATGGGAAGTGCCAATTTCCGCCGCCATTTTCACCTGTTGTTGTCATGCCTGATCGTGTTTGGACCTGCCCTGAGCATGTGGGTCTCCCAACACAGCATCTTCGCCAAAAGGACTAATTTTCTTTACAGGTGAGAACTAAGATGGGCTCAAACAATAATGCATGATTGCCTTATTGTTGGTTTCAGGGTCTTTTTCTCAAGTACAGTGCCTTCAGGAAGTATTCACACCCCTTGAATTCTTACATATTTTGTGTTACAGCCTGAATTCTGAGATTTTGTGACACTGGTCTACACAAAATAACTCATCATTTCAGAGTGGTATTATGTTTTTAGACATTTTTACAAATTAATTACAAATGAAAAGCTGAAATGTCTTGAGTCAATAAGTATTCAACCCCTTTGTTATGGGAAGCCTAAATAAGTTCTGGAGTAAAAATGTGCTTAACAGGTAATAAGTTGCATGGACTCTGTGCAATAATAGTGTTTAACATTATTTTTTTATGACTACCTCATCTCTGTACCCCACACATACAATTATCTGTAAGGTCCCTCAGTCGAGCAGTGAATTTCAAACACAGATTCAACCACAAAGACCAGGGAGGTTTTCCAATGCCTCGCAAAGAAGGGCACCTATTGGTAGATGGGTAAAAATAAAATAAAAGCAGACATTGAATATCCCTTTGAGCATGGTGAAGTTATTAATTACACTTTGGATGGTGTATCAATACACCCAGTCACTACAAAGATACAGGCATCCTTCCTAACTCAGTTGCCGGGGAGGAAGGAAACTGTGTAGGGATTTCACCATGAGGCCAATGGTGACTTTAAAACAGTTACAGAGTTTAATGGCTGTGATAGGAGAAAACTGAGGATGGATCAACAACATTGTAGTTACTCCACAATACTAACCTAAATGACAGAGTGAAAAGAAGGAAGCCTGTACATAATAACAATATTCCAAAACATGCCTGCCAGTGAATTAAAACCATGTTCCAACCATCTAGTCATTTCTTTACCATTCAGAGCATTCCTGCGCTCAGGCTGGGGATGGACCTGCATCTTCGTCGGCTCCTTTGTCTTCCTCCTCTCCTTCTCAGTACGCAGATCCCTCGTTCTCTCACTGCGACACCTGTCCAGGCTGGTGGTGGCAGGCGTGCTGTGGGTGGGGTTCCGGAAGCTTCTGGATGTCCTTGAGAACGCCACAGGGAGCTGCTACGAGCCCCTCAGCGCTGTAGATGGCCAGCCCACGGTGGACGGCCAGCCCTTCCTACTACTTCGGGAGGGGGCGAGCAAGAAGTTGTGTGTGGGAAACGGCATGCTGTGGCGCGGCTATGAGGTCTCTGAGGACATCTTTTTGCTGTGTCTGTGCTGCCTGCTGGTGGCAGAGGAGACGGCTGTGTTCGGGCCCTACCTGACTCTGGGTGGGCCCTCGGGGGCCCCGCTGCGCCTGCTCTTCCTGTTCTGTGTCATCCTGCTGGGCCTCTGGGTGTTCTTGCTTCTCTGCCTGCTGGCCTACTTCCCCGCATTCCCCACACAGATCTTAGGAGGGGCCCTGGGGTGTCTTAGTTGGAGGGGCCTGTATCAGGGCTGGTACCGCCTGGGCCCCAGCTGGTACTGTCCTGGACGACCAGGGGTGGGACTCTTAACCAAGAAGGAAGGGGGACAGCCTGAGTGAAAGAATGAGGGGAATGGCTTTAGGCATAAACACATCTCATAAAACCTAGGCACTGGGCTAATGAATGTGCTGTCTTTTTCATGAAAGAATGAGGGGCTAATTAAACCCTCTACAGAATGTTAAGTCATTTTTAACTGCTGTCAACTATCATCGAGTTATTGTACTTGATAATAAATATTTGTTTGTGAACTTGTCTACAGGCAGTTTTATGATAAATAAAAGGCTTCATTCAATTGGTTGGCTGTCTTTCAGACCTCAGGTGCCATCATTTTGCAAAAGTACATGCATATCAATATGGTATTAACTAGGCCTCGAACACATTTTTACAGTGCACCTGACCATAAAACATGTATTACATAATGCTGTATCATTTTGATTATGCATCTTTGACAGTGCTGGCCATGTAAGTAAGAAGTTAAATTAATTGTGATTTTATTCAAATCAGACCAAATGTGTTGAATGAACATGTTAAACTTTGCATAAGCACCACTGTTCCGTGTCAAATTATAATTGGATAATACAGTCTACGACTGTACTTAAACATAATAACTTCAACATCCAGTTGTTGTTTTTTCTCCAAGTCAGCTTTAATAATACAATTACTCCAAAAGCTCCAGGCACAAAAAAAAAGCTGACATGAATTACAAGTCTAAGACAAATTGTATAACATGAAAATGACAGGTGAATGCACATTCTTTTAAAGAAATGCAAGCTGTTGAAATACAAGCTTAAATGTAAGTTTCTCATTTTTGAAAAATAAAGTGAGTTACTCCAAAAACAATGCATTTCTTTCTGAAGACAAGATGGTCCCCAAAACAGTGTGAAATACAAACAAATCATGTCTGGGAGATGACGAACATTGATTACTTGACATAATAAAATAATAATGGAAGAATACAGTTTCTTCAAAAAAACATTAATTTAAAAAATGCACTGCCAAAAGAAAAAAAGGGGGGGGGGGGGGGGGGGGGGGGGGGACAATATATACAGGAACATGCTGTGTCTCTACTGGTGATTTTTTTTTAAACAACACTGACATTTTCTGTGTGACTGCTCTTTTGGAGAAGATACATTTCATACTAAATTCATAGGACAAGTTGAAACAGATCAGGAACTGGAAAAATGAGGGATTTTTGAGGTCATGGTATCCAGTGGTTGCCAGTGACAGTTCATTAGTGAATCATAGAGCTCCTCACTCCTCTCCATGAATTCTTTGTTCAGTGCATCCACATCCAGGTGAGGGTTGGGTTCTGGCAGGGAAGAGTAAATAAGTCAACAAGCCAATGGATTTGAATGCAACAGAGTCAGGCAATGGCAACAATACATTTAAAAGGAAAAACAACAAAGACCTTATACAGTGAGGGAAAAACTTATTTGATCCCCTGCTGATTTTGTACGTTTGCCCACTGACAAAGAAATGATCAGTCTATAATTGTAATGGTAGGTTTATTTGAACAGTGAGAGACAGAATAACAACAACAAAATCCAGAAAAACGCATGTCATAAATTGATAAGCATTTTAATGAGGGAAATAAGTATTTGACCCCCTCTCAATCAGAAAGATTTCTGGCTCCCAGGTGTCTTTTATACAGGTAACGAGCTGAGATTAGGAGCACACTCTTAAAGGGAGTGCTCCTAATCTCAGCTTGTTACCTGTATAAAAGAGACCTGTCCACAGAAACAATCAATCAGATTCCAAACTCTCCACCATGGCCAAGACCAAAGAGCTCTCCAAGGATGTCAGGGACAAGATTGTAGACCTACACAAGGCTGGAATGGGCTACAAGACCATCGCCAAGCAGCTTGGTGAGAAGGTGACAACAGTTGGTGAGATTATTCGCAAATGGAAGAAACACAAAGAACTGTCAATCTTCCTCTGCCTGGGGCTCCATGCAAGATCTCACCTTGTGGAGTTGCAATGATCATGGGAATGGTGAGGAATCAGCCCAGAACTACACGGGAGGATCTTGTCAATGATCTCAAGGCAGCTGGGACCATAGTCACTAAGAAAACCATTGGTAACACACTACGCCGTGAACGACTGAAATCCTGCAGCGCCCGCAAGGTCCCCCTGCTCAAGAAAGCACATATACAGGCCATTCTGAAGTTTGCCAATGAACATCTGAATGATTCAGAGGAGAACTGGGTGAAAGTGTTGTGGTCAGATGAGACCAAAATGGAGCTCTTTGGCATCAACTCAACTCGCCGTGTTTGGAGGAGGAGGAATGCTGCCTATGACCCCAAGAACACCATTCCCACCGTCAAACATGGAGGTGGAAACATTATGCTTTGGGGGTATTTTTCTGGGGACAGGACAACTTCACCGCATCAAAGGGACGATGGACGGGGCCATGTACCGTCAAATCTTGGGTGAGAACCTCCTTCCCTCAGCCAGGGCATTGAAAATGGGTTGAGGATGGGTATTCCAGCATGACAATGACCCAAAACACACGGCCAAGGCAACAAAGGAGTGGCTCAAGAAGAAGCACATTAAGGTCCTGGAGTGGCCTAGCCAGTCTCCAGACCTTAATCCCATAGAAAATCTGTGGAGGGAGCTGAAGGTTCGAGTTGCCAAACGTCAGCCTCGAAACCTTAATGACTTGGAGAAGATCTGCAAAGAGGAGTGGGACAAAATCCCTCCTGAGATGTGTGCAAACCTGGTGGCCAACTACAAGAAACGTCTGACCTCTGTGATTGCCAACAAGGGTTTTGCCACCAAGTACTAAATCATGTTTTGCAGAGGGGTCAAATACTTATTTCCCTCATTAAAATGCAAATCAATTTATAACATTTTGGCATGCGTTTTTCTGGATTTTTTTGTTGTTATTCTGTCTCTCACTGTTCAAATAAACCTACCATTAAAATGATTAATTATTAGAATTATAGACTGATCATTTCTTTGTCAGTGGGCAAAAGTACAAAATCAGCAGGGGATCAAATACTTTTTTCCCCTCACTGTATCTGCAGAAAATTGCATTTTTCTTTTGTGCATGTGAAAGGATAGTGAAGAGTTACCTTCTGCTGCCTCTTCTTCAGGCTCATCTGTGGACTCCTGTGTTTGCTAATGTGAAAAACAAGACAACAGAAATGAATCATTGTGAACAACGGTTAGCATGAAAACCCTTTTTAGACAGATCTCATTCGATTAAGGGATAGGTTATGGGGAATTATGAGGGGAAAGATCACAGGAGCTTGTCAGGAAGCCTTACCTCTGAGGAAGTCTGCATGTCTGTGTGCATGGGGGGCATGCTAATGGGAGGTGGGGGTCCCATCATCCCATGGGGGCCTGGAGGGGGGTACCCCCCGTAAGGACCGTACCCACTGTAGTTGTAGCTGTTGTACTGGTCATAGCCCCACTGAGGGTAGTAATTCTGGTTGGGTTGTTGATAGTACGGCTGTTGGTAATTGTTGTGGTAGGAGTTGTGGTTCTGGTTGTTATAGCTGTTCATTTTATGGCTAAATAGCAAGGAAACAGGAAAAATTAATGTTAGGTGCAGTGGATGTCAAGTTAGGAGGACAATCATACATAGTATAGCAACTTTCAACAAAGACAGACCAGCATGACACTAATCGACCCTAACACAGTATAATTTATACACTTATTTCAGAAGAAGATTAGAACCATACCTCTTGTTCACAGCTATGCTGATCCTGATTGGTTTTGTCCCCAGGCCTGAGGCGTTCTGACACTCATCGATGGCTTTCTTCTGTTCGTTCTCATCCTCAAACTTGATGAAGCCATAACCTCTGCGAGAGCAAGCAAAACGCTAAAACCCTGAGCACACATTCTGTCCGGACTCGCCGTATCATGCTAATCAAATACATAATTAATTCGAAAACAAAAATGGTATGGTAGAACTGAAACTTGTTGTTTTACTTTTAATATGAAGTAGCATCACTTCAATTGTGAGTTGCTCTTGCTTACCCTATATGGGGAAAACAATAGTTTTAGCATAAATGTCAGAAACAAACTTTTCCAGTATTTCTGGGAAAATTTACCAGTGGTAACAGTGGTGAAGATACCCAACACACTCGTATATCTACACACAATCCAATTAAATAAGGATCTATTGTTAAAAATGTCATGAGATTTTACAAGGAATTTAAATGTAATGAAATGTCTGATTAATTCAAATTGTGTTCAAAATAAGGTGGTGCATAACTAGCATCACCAAATAACATGAATGTATAAGTCTGTTCAGCGCTCATACCTGGAGTTACCGTACTGATCAGAGACCACTTTGCCTCCTTTGCAGGAAGGGTACTTCTTCAGGAAGAACTGATGAAGTTGGTAGTCATCCACTTCTGAAGACAGATCTCCCACAAAGACAGAAAATTCTGGCCTGAGGATGCATAAAAAAGAGACACAGAGAGAGAGGGATTAATAAGGTGAACCAACACCATACCATCTAGCGTTTTCTTTCTCACAATATTTTTTCTGGAGGTAGGAAATATCACACAGAGCAGCAAACATGACAAACAAGTTACTGCGGGTTCCAACAACAGAATCATGCATCAAATGAAGAGGAAGAAAGTAAAACAGCTTACCCAGTTTCTGGCCGTTTCCCGTAAGTTGCATAGTTTAACTTAAACTTTCTGGGCTATACAGGAAGAAAGAACAAGCAGTCAAGCACCTTCAAAGACAAACGTGTGTAGCAAGGACATATATTGCTGGAAAATAAAGAGTATATTATTAGAGAATAACATTTTATTTGGTTTACATACCTCCACCACCTACAGGCTTTATTCCATTCGTCAGTTAGTTCCTAACAGAGTTTATTCACCAGCTTCAAACATTTTAGTGATCCAATTGACGTTTTAGTCATTTAGCAGACGCTCTTATCCAGAGCGACTTACAATTAGTGAGTGCATACATTTTTTCATACCCACAACCCTTGCGTTGCAAGCGCCATGCTCTACCAACTGAGCTACAGCTAAAAACAAAGTCTATTTACAAACTGCCTCAACCACCTTCATCAGGAAGAAAACGGACCTCAGTAACTTTGCTGTAATGTATTCCGTTCCATCAACCTCAAATTAAGGTGGGGGCCAATGCTAGTGAAGCTCCGCTATCAACAATACATTTGAAACTAAAACTAGAGGGTGGTTGTCCGCTAATACATCATCAGTAAGTTGTTCAAATGAACTATGAATATTAGAAATGTCAAGCTTATAATGAGTGCTCACCGGATTTGATCCAGGAACTAGCTTCCCATTCAGTCTGTGAACGCATCGGTCAACGCTGGCTTCGTCTGACATTTCCACAAAGCAATAGCCTGCTGAACCACTGTAGAACAAGAGATTGAATTAGTGACAATAGTGTGATACAACTACATTTTAGAAACGGACAGAAAACCCCAATGTGGGGTAATAATATCCCACAAATATTGTATTTTAGAATTACCTTATCAATTCACAGCTCTGTGGTAAGTAAATCAAGTACTTCACTAAAATGACAACAGGAGGTTCTAGAACAACTGGCATTTAAGGTTAGGGTAGCCTGGCATTGTAGCTGATAGGGTTCAATTACTCACAATGTATTTTAATCACTGACTGATTCTAATTTGGGCAAGTAGTGGCTTGATCTATAGCCTACATGCAATAGTGTGGACTATTTTCAAACAAGTGAACACATGCTAAACACATGGCATCACTTGACTACATTAGACAGAGGTGTGATGAACATACCCTGTTACTCTGTGGGTAATGATCTTAACACCATACGCCGTCTCGCCCATAGTGCTGAAGGCTTGTTTGATGAAATTCTCATCCATGTATGGGTCCAGCTATGAAGAAGATTGTGTAGAGTTATCTGTCTGTAAGATATACACTTGCAAATATCCCATTCATATCCATGAAATATAAAGCTGGCTACAGTACAAGCCAGGAAATAGAGAATAGTGAGAGAAGTCCTAGTTAGGTTAGGCATAATGTTAACAGTGTGGTTAAAGTTAGGTGTAAAATGTTGCTACAATTATGACTTTGTGGCTGTGGTAACTAGTCACGACCAAACATTTGTTGAACGTAATTCAATTCGTCAGACACTTCCTTCACCATGGAGTGGAGTTTAGTCAGCTATGATAACTAATGACAAACCAAATGTCTGCCTGGGCTCAGGAGTAGCTGTAAGCACGTTAGATGATTACCAAAGACAGGTTTAGAAACGATGTTATTATTATGCGCTGTACTACTACTAGGCCCAGCCAGGGCAGCAAGCTAGCTAAACTGTCGGAATTCGGGAACGTTACTTTTGAGAAGTTAACACATTTTAATTAGGTAGCGAATACATCACTGGCTGTATCTCTTATCCTGTTTTTAAATAAATGTCCACATAGCTATACACATTATACACTTCACATCAATTGGAGAACTTAGCTAGCTGACGTTAGCAAGCTAGGTACTGTAGCTACGTAACGTTCCTATATAGCTAGTCTAGTGTAGCTAAAGTAGCTGGCTAGTGCCGGCTAAAACGTTTTCTACCAGTCAGTTAGTAATAAGAGGATTAAAACAGAGCGAACGTACATCACCCATCCAAAGGCTTGTCATCCTGTTGAACATATTGGTGCTTTATTTTTTGGGGGGGTATCCTACAAACACGAATATGTAGTTACTAGTTAAGTTGTATAAATGGATAGCTTTTCCTCCCGAAACTGGTGCTAGTGAAATCAATGATGGTGAAGACCACGCCTCCGGAAATTCGGTTAGTAAATAAATTGACTTGCAAGAATGGACACATCTTCAATTGATTTCCGCATTAGATTATGTAGCCGACTTCGACATTATTGACTTCATAGATCAGTGTTAATAACAATAAAAAAAACTCAGTGCCAGTTGTCTGGACATTATTTTCGCTAGGGGGCGATATGGATTCTATCCGTCCTTCGAAAAAGTGTGACGAGATTTTCTTTCGGCATTGATTATTCAGGAAGTTAACGTCTACATTTTCCACCAATCATGGTAACGGATGCTATTCCACTTCCATGGTTACCGCCCAAATATTTTGAACAAACCAATCACGACACCGCATTTAGTAATTTAAAGAAAGTTCGTCATCGGTCGTTGAAATTTAAACTTCAGCTGCTGCAGAAAGAAACACGTTTCAGTAAAGTTTGGGAGGTGATTTTCCATTTCAGGAGATATAAAAGTACATTTATCATCAACGACGTGTGGAATTAATTTGGAGTAAGTAGCTCACGTTTGTTAACGCCTACATTTAGGTTTTGTTGCATGAAATGTAAATAATAAATGACGGAGAAAGGCAGCAAGTTTGCCACCTGCAAGGTACTGTAGTGTAGGTAACGTTAACTTGCTAGTGTGAATTAGTTGTCTAAGATTAGCTAACATGCACGTTTATATAACAAAATATACGCTTTTGTTAGTGTAAGTTATAAGCGACTTGGTTCTATTCTTGCAACGTTACCCTGCAGGGAGACCGAAAGGCAGATTCAAACATGGCTCAATTTGGATTCGACAACGACATTCACAGCATTCTGAAGCTGGATATGCCAATCACAAACGCGCCCATGGCGAGGTGGCAGAGAAAAGCCAGTTCGTCGATGTCGACCAGCAGTGCCAACACCAGCGCTCTATCACCTGGCAAATCCGGAAACAGATCTCTTAGTATGTCCAAGACGCCCAGTAAAACACCAGGTAGCTAGCTATTGTTTTTGCTGTTGAATTTTGCTCTACAGTATTTGCTTCTGTGTATGTAGGTAGTCCCTTTCAACTGTCTATGGGTGTGGCACTGTTACCAATCTGTTTCACCAAGAGTTCTAATACTAATCTGCCCTTCTCTCTTGCTCAGGTAAAAATGGAAAGACACAGTACACACCTTCCAAGGCAGGCGGTGACCGTTTCATTCCCACTAGAAACAACAAACAGATGGATGTGGCAAGCTTCCTGCTCTCAAAAGAAAATGAGCCCATGGACACAAACCCCTTAGCAGCAACATCAGTGAGGCTTTTCTCTAACATTTCCCATCACATTTGTTGGTATATTGAATTGTAGCTAAAAATCGACACATTTGTCATTGTAGGAGAACCAGAAAGCATGGTCTGTTACACTCAACGGATATGACATTGAGGAGGCAAAGATCTTGCATCTAGGAGGAAAACCCTTGAATGCTCCAGAAGGTAGGTCTACCGTTGGGAATGATTGTGTGACTTTGTCAGTTGATTGATATCAGAATCTAGTGTCCAATTCTCTCTTCTTTCCAGGTTACCAGAACAACTTGAAAGTTCTCTACAGTCAGGTTTCTACCCCAGTCTCCACCAAAAAGACCAGATACATACCATCTGTGCCTGACAGAATCTTAGACGCTCCTGAACTCCGAAATGATTTCTGTGAGTCCTGCCAATACAGTACTACAAATATCTAATAACCTGTCTGGGGAGTAGGTATCGAGGGACTTAACCTAGGGGTGTGTGTCATAGACGCTCCTGAACTTCAAAATGACGACTGAGTCTCCTAACACAGTAAATGTCCAGTAACTTACCGGGGAAGGAATCCTAGCTATGGGTGTAACATGGGCCTGCTGTGATGCATAAATCACACATTGATTTACATTTTAATAATTTAGCAGATGCTCTTATCCAGAGGGGGGGTGGTGCTGTGGGATTATTTCAGATACTCTTTGAAGAGGTAGGGGTTCGGTTGTTTTTGGAAGACTCTGCTGTCCTAGCTTGAGGGGGAAGCTGGTTCCACCATTAGGGTTTAAGCATAGCCTGAGGGTAGGGAGGGGCAGTTGCTCTTCCGTAGGCAAGTACCATGGTCTTGTAGTGGATGCAAGCTTCTACTAGAAGCCAGTGGAGGTGCGGGGTGACGTGGAAGAACTTGGGAAGGTTGAACACCAGGCAGGCTGCAGTGTTCTGTATAAGTTGCAGGGGTTTGATGGCATAAGTGGGGAGCCCAGCCAACAGCGAGTTGCAGTTGTCCAGACGGGAGATGACAAGTGCCTGGATTAGGACCTATGCCGCTTCCGGTGCGGTAGGGTCGTACTCTACGGATGTTGTAGAGCATGAACTTGCAGGAGCGAGTCACTGCTTTGATGTTTGCAGAGAACGACCAGGTGTTGTCCAAGGTTCTTTGCAGGGGGGGACACCGTGGAGTAGTCAACCGTGATGGTGAGGTAGGCCTTCCCTGTCTTGTTGAGATTAAGCTTGAGTTGTTTGGCAGACATCCAAGCTGAGATATCTGCCAGGCACGCAGAGATGCGTGTCGCCACCTGGGTGTCAGAAGGGGGGGGGGAGGAGAAAAGTAGTAGTTGCGTGTCATCCGCATAGCAATGATAGGAGAGACCATGTGAGGATATGACGGCGCTGAGTGACTTGATGTATAGAGAGAAGAGGGCCTAGATTTCAATGGGAGATTTACAGAAAGTGATTTAATGCCAGATCAAGTTGGGATCTGGTCCTTTTGGCTTCAGACTCTTAATTCAATCAGGGTGGAAATGGTGGCGGCAGAGAGGAGCATTCTTTGTTAAAAAGCTCCATTGACCTCCTTCTGTTCCCACAGATCTGAACCTATTGGACTGGAGCAGTCGGAACCTTCTCGCAGTTGCCCTTCACAACAGTGTTTATCTGTGGGACGCCACCCAGGGTGACATCGTCCTGCTGATGAAGCTGGAGCGGGAGGAGGACTACATCTGCTCTGTCTCCTGGATCAAGGAGGGCAACTTCCTGGCCATTGGTACCAGTGACTGCAAAGTTCAGGTAAACTGTCTGATGTGAACCTACCCAGCACACATCTAAAATAATTTGGCTTCCAATGCAATTTTATGGTGTTGAAGAGAGTGATTTGCTGCTTCCTGTTTTTTAAAATACATTTAACCTGAATTTGTCTTTGTCCCTAGTTGTGGGATGTGGAGAACCAGAAGCGTCTACGCAGCATGGCCAGCCACACTGCCAGAGTTGGCAGCCTGAGTTGGAACAATCACATTCTTTCCAGGTAAAGATTTGTTTCTGGGGGAAAAAACAACGAATGTTCAGGAACAAAAGTTGAGTGAATAGTCAGTCCCACTTATGCCACGATTTTGCATCCCAGACAAAATGTCCACGTCGTTGGAAAATTATTAGCTTGTAAACGATTGTCGTGCGTCTTGGCTCGTTCAGTGTGACCTAGGTCTGCCGATTTTTAAGTACCGCTACAAAGTTCTAGCAGTTTCAATATTTTTGCCTTTAGCGTGCAGTGTGGCTGGTGTTACGAGCCGATCACAGTGACTGACCAATAGGAACACTGCCTGTACAAAGTATGCACACAATCATACGATTATTGTGAATAGTCAGATTAATGTAATAGTTATATTTCAACATTTAGCCTATATGCTGTGCAAAAAACGATTTCCCTAATAGTATTTTCTTTTTTATATACTTGTGGCCAAAATATTTTAAAATATTTTTATTTTTTTTACCATCTTTATTATTTTCTTTTTCCAGTGGCGCCAGATCTGGTCACATCCACCACCATGACGTGAGGGTAGCGGACCACCACATCTTCACCCTCTCCGGACACTCTCAGGAGGTGTGTGGGCTGGAGTGGTCCCCTGATGGGAGATACCTGGCCAGCGGAGGCAACGACAACCTCGTGTACGTGTGGCCAGGCGTGCAGGAGGGCAGCGGCCAAGGCAGCAATGCTGTCCACGGCTTCAGTGAGCACCAAGGAGCAGTGAAGGTAAATAACAAACTTTTAACAAAATGTCATTCTTGGTGTGAAATGCTAAACTACCATGTTTTATTGAAGGATGGAGTTGGGAATTAATAAAAGGGCACAATTTGATGCACATTGAAGTCCACTCACTGTAAAGAGACGTGCCAAACCCTAATGATTGTTTATCTTACTCAAATGTCTTAGGCTTTGGCCTGGTGCCCATGGCAACCCAACATTCTTGCGTCTGGAGGGGGCACCAGTGACCGACACATCCGCATCTGGAACGTCACCAGTGGCACTTGCATCAGTGCCTTGGACACTCAGTCTCAGGTAACTGCACCCACCTTGAACCCTAATGGGGTTGTATCTGAAGTCTCACTATTTTGTACAGGATGATATTACACCTCCGGGGCCCTGCTGCTCAGTCATAGCAGCATGAATATTTGCATACCAGTCACTTTTTAAATGAGGTTACTTTCCATAATTGCTATGCTGTACAATCAGACCATTAACTGGTGGTCAAATTTGCCTTACAGGTGTCCTCTTTGAAGTTTGCACCAAACTACAAGGAATTGGTCTCCAGCCACGGATATGCCCACGACAACGTAGTCATCTGGAAGTACCCCTCCTTGACTAAAATGGCAGAGCTCAATGGTGAGTGACTGGTCTGAAATTATGAATATTGTATAAAAACTTAATGGCTCTGTATGAAGTTGTCATGAATGGGTCATTTTGTTGTCTGAAGCTGTAAAAGCATCCAAGAGCCTGACGGTAAATGTCCCTCACCCCAGTCTCCTTAACTGGGTAAACATAATCCTAATTTAAATTAAACTGTAGATAAACTTGCTTAATGTCAATCCATCTCAATAATGATGCATGTTTAAAGATGCATTATGCAGAAATTGCTCTGCCATTTCTTGGTTCCTAAAATTCTAATAGTTCGCTTAATTTCACTTTGCAAGTGTGAACAATCTAAATGTATATTTTTTCAGCTTTATGAAGCTGGTGTACAAAACTGAAAGTAAAATAGCACACACTTTTCCAACTGTAGCCATTAGTTTATTCTGGGGTCAAAGTTCAAAACTATCTTAAACCACTTTTTTTTTTTTTTTTTTTTTCACAGGTCATGAGGGCAGAGTCTTGAACATTACCATGAGTCCAGACTGCTCGACTGTTGCCACTGTAGGTGGTGATGAAACTGTCCGCCTCTGGAAGAGCTTTGAGCTGGATCCAGTCAAGAAGAAGGCCAAGGAGCGGATGGTGAAGTCCACCAGCGGTAGTATCCACCAATCTATCCGATAATGGAATTTTTGTATTGTATGTTCAGGTTAGTTATTGATCGACTCATCTGAATTGTTTACTAATGTACCAACTTTTTATTCACTGTAAAATAAAGATTGCCACTTTAAAATTTTCTTCACGTTTGAATATCTTGCAGCCTTGCCACTTGTTCAGAAAGTCTTCAAGGATTATAACCGGAGTTGATTTTAGCGAATACTGTTTGGGCCCTCATTCATTCAATGTGAAACTGAGGATATTTCTTTCTTTGCTGAAACCCATACTTGTTTCTGCATTTGATTAATTGGTCTGTGGTTAACATTAAGTACAGTAGTCCTGGGATGGTTTGTCATGGGTGACGCACTATTTAAATGTGGTATTGGTCTTTTTAATAATTCATAAATGGCTAAGAATGGCGTTTCCTGAAGTGGATAATATTGACTTGTCCAGCCAGACGGGATGCGGTCTAGGTCATGATGTACAGATATCACAATGCCTGAAAGTGTTAACATCTGGGGAACAAATCTTCCGAAACTAGCGGTGTGACCACAGTAAAGACTACCTGGAAAACAACCCATGGATGCTTTCCAATTAGATATTCTGCAGAGTTCAAGATCATGTTGATCTGTAGGTTCCTGAGAAGCAATTCTCTAGAAACTCTAAAATTGTGTCCCAAGTAACCCTAGTCTCTAGCCAACTGTTCTAAACCTGTCCAGAGGCCAGGATGGTGTTCTATAATATATGGACACAGTAAGCTTGTTGGATGACCTAATTAAAAATAAGGAGGCATGTATGACTAATGTTCAGAACACAATTTCATTATGAACTCAAATACACAACACCCTTGACCCTGATGGTGAGGGAAAATATGGCGATGGCTGGGACATGTGCAGACTACCATCAGAACGCCCAAAATAAACATTAAGAACAATAGAAAAGGTGTGGCCTGACCTGTAGGAGCCTTATCTAGAATGTTGCTGCAGACCAGATAGTGGCACTCCAGTGGATGCCTTGTGCCTCAAGGTAAGTATGTTTGACTCAGCCTGACACTTAAAACGTTTATTTCAAAAAGTTAAATATACAAACAGCACCAAAAAACACAACCATGTTGGACATCAACAATACAAACCCCAGCTCTTTGAACGAGAACTGGGTAAGCTATTTACAAGCATGTTCCAGTCCTTTCAGTGGAAACTACAATTCAAGCAACACGAGTCATGCCAATCAAACAAGTAGGAGTCCAAGGGTGGGCTATCGTTGGTCGTTTCAAACCTGGGTTTGAGGTGAATATTAGTGATGAAGACTACCTCTTCATACAGTGTGATCTACAGGTAGTAGTTCCCTCAACCACTCAATTGAATAAATTGTGTAGGGACCAACTAACTCCATTACGCCATTCATATCCCACAACCTGTGTATAAAAATATACATTTGAGGAAAGTGATCAGTAGCTAATATGAAAGAGTATCATTTTTTGGAATCTTTGGCATTTGAGGTTCCTTCAGACAGTTCTGTTTCCCCTTCCAAAAGAATGAAGCTAGACTTCCTTCACTTTGTCTAGTTGGTTATGGCCGTTGACACTGTGTGCTGTTGTCCCATTGCCATTCTTCAGTGGCTTGCCGTTGGGCACCACGGAAACGTTGCCAATGCTGTTGGTATGACCATTAATAACACCATTCTTCTTTAGCTTCTCCTCCTTGGTTGCCGTGGGCAGCCGTTTACCTTTTACGTAGGCCTGAATCCAGAAGTTGGAGAAAAGTGCGAAGAAGAAGGTGCCGTACATCCAGATAAGGTGAATGAACATGGGCACCTGAAAGTCACACTTCTCCATGAAGTAGTACTGAGAGATGTGAAGTGAGATCAGCACAAACTGGATCTAAAGAAGGAAGAAATAAGAAAGTATTAATGATGTGGTCTGTAGATGGCCACACGTCACCAATTCAAAACAGTAACACCGGCAGCTATACAAAAATCAATGCTTCCGTTTAACAGCTTCTTCCAATTGTACATCATTAAGAAAGAACACCCACCAACTGGATTGCGGTCATGTACTTCTTCCACCAGAGGTATTTCTGGAAGCGAGGTCCTGCAGCGGACAGTCCGTAGTAGGTGTACATGATGACGTGGACACATGCGTTGACCATGGCATGGAACGAGCTCATTCCCCCTGCTGGAGATTCACAATGACAGGCACATTATTAAAACTCAGACAGATTCTGAACAGTCACAGGGGCATAACAAAATACAGTTGAAGTCAGAAGTTTACATACACTTAGGTTGGAGTCATTAAAACTCGTTTTTCAACCACTCCACAATTGTCTTGTTAACTAACTATAGTTTTGGCAAGTCAGTTAGGGCATTTACTTTGTGCATTTTTCCAACAATTGTTTACAGACAGATTATTTCACTTATAATTCACTGTATCACAATTCCAGTGGGTCAGAAGTTTACATACACTAAGTTGACTGTTCCTTTAAACAGCTTGGAAAATTCCAGAAAATGATGTCATGGCTTTACAAGCTTCTGATAGGCTAATTGACATCATTTGAGTCAATTGGAGGTGTACCTGTGGATGTATTTCAAGGCCTACCTTCAAACTCAGTGCCTCTTTACTTGACATCATGGGAAAATGAAATGAAATCAGCCAAGACCTCAGATTTTTTTTGCAGACCTCCACAAGTCTGGTTCATCCTTGGAAGCAATTTCCAAACGCCTGAAGGTACCACGTTCATCTGTACAAACAATAGTACGCAAGTATCAACACCATGGGACCACGCAGCAGTCCTACTGCTCAGGAAGGAGACGCGTTCTGTCTCCTAGAGATGAACGTACTTTGGTACGAAAAGTGCAAATCAATCCCAGAACAACAGCAAAGGACCTTTTGAAGATGCTGGAGGAAACAGGTACAAAAGTATATATATCCACAGTAAAACGAGTCCTATATCGACATAACCTCTGTAGCTCAGCTGGTAGAGCACGGCGCTTGTAACGCCAAGGTAGTGGGTTCGATCCCCGGGACCACCCATACACAAAAATGTATGCACGCATGACTGTAAGTCGCTTTGGATAAAAGCGTCTGCTAAATGGCATATTATTATTATTATTATTATTATTATTATTAACCTGAAAGGCCGCTCAGCAAGGAAGAAGCCACTGCTTCAAAACCGCCATAAAAAAGCTAGACTACGGTTTGCAACTGCACATGGGGACAAAGATTGTACTTTTTGGAGAAATGTCCTCTGGTCTGATGAAACAAAAATAGAACTGTTTGGCCATAATGACCATCGTTATGTTTGGAGGAAAAAGGGGGTTGCTTGCAAGCCGAAGAACACCATCCCAAACGTGAAGCACGGGGGTGGCAGCATCATGCTGTGGGGGTGCTTTGCTGCAGGAGGGACTGGTGCACTTCACAAAATAGATGGCATCATGAGGAAGGAAAATTATGTGGATATATTGAAGCAACATCTCAAGACATCAGTCAGGAAGTTAAAGCTTGGTCGCAAATGGGTCTTCCAAATGGACAATGACCCCAAGCATACTTCCAAAGTTCTGGCAAAATGGCTTAAGGACAACAAAGTCAAGGTATTGGAGTGGCCACCACAAAGCCCTGACCTCAATCCTATAGAAAATGTGTGGGCAGAACTGAAAAAGCGTGGGCGAGCAAGGAGAACTACAAACCTGACTCAGTTACAACAGCTCTGTCAGGAGGAATGGGCCAACATTCACCCAACTTATTGTGGGAAGCTTGTGAAAGGCTACCGGAAACGTTTGACCCAAGTTAAACAATTTAAAGGCAATGCTACGAAATACTAATTGAGTGTATGTAAACTTCTGACCCACTGGGAATGTGATGAAAGAAATAAAAGATGAAAGAAATAATTCTCTACTATTATTCTGGTATTTCACATTCTTAAAATAAAGTGGTGATCCTAACTGACCTAAGACTGGGAATGTTTACTAGGATTAAATGTCAGCAATTGTGAAAAACAGAGTTTAAATGTATTTGGCTAAGGTGTATGTAAACTTCCGACTTCAACTGTACATGTTGTTCCTAAATGATTTTTATTCCCTGGTAAAATTGTAGAACGTTCCTTTTGTGATTATAAGGTTTATTGAATAACCCCCTCACAGTTAACTAATGTAAAGTTAAACAGGTTATATCAGCAACTATAAGCACACTGCATGGGGATGATGATGTCATTATAAAGGTCAAGATTACCAGGAGCGATGGTCATACCCCACCACCACGTGAAGGGCATGAAAGAATGATGGAAGACATGAAGAAAGGTGATCTGGCTGTGTTTCTTACGCAGCACAAAGAATAACTGCAAAGCAGACAAGAGTTTAAGTTACTCTAAGCAAACACATTCTAAAATCTCCATTTGTGTCAGAAAGACGAAGTCAGAAGATTATTTATGCTAACTTCAAAGGACAGTTCATGCCAATATTTTTTATTCACAAACATGATATTTTGATATAGAAAAACATTCTTACTGTGTCCAGAAGCTCAATGAATTTAGAGAAGTAAAACCACCAAGCCACTCGAACCATCTGACAAAAGGAGAGAAAAGTAAGTACAGAGAATAAATAGATGGCATCAAATAATATCACATCATATGACCTATTAAAATAGCTATGCATGTTTAAAATGTATAATGTAAAACAACATTTTCATTGTATGAAAACATAGATGGCATCTCATGAGATGCAAAGCAGATTCTCTCATAAAGAAAGCTTACCCTTAGAGCCTGTGGGCTGCTTGAGTAGTCACACAGGTCACATCTCCAGGTAAAGGTGGTGCCCCATCCTGACATCAGGAACTGCAAAGGTAAAGCACAGAACTGGCTGTCATATCATCAAGTCATAAAAGCTGTAAAAAATAAAATCTCAACTAGAGTAGTCTTTGAAGAACTTAAATTCTGCTGAATGACTAACTGCTTTGCTCACCTCATAGACAAGGAAGGCGTTCAGGAACACCATGCTGAAGTTATAGATGATCATGGCCGTCTTGAGGTGATAGGGCTTGCGGTGTGCCATCAGGCGAGGGCCTGCATACAGCGAGAAGAACACATAGCCCAACAGGATGCTGGTCATCTGGAAGGGGGTCCGCATCAATGGGTAGGGCAACAACCGGTGGTCTGAGGACAAGAAATCAAGCAATTTATCAATATTTTAAAGACAACAATACAGGTTACACACATAGCATGGTACAACGTGCATCAACTACAAACCACCAAATGTATTTAATTCATTTAAAAATTGTATTAATAAAAATATCAATTTTAGAGAAAGCACTCACTCACCCGTTCTCTGCAATAAATACTCATACAACGACATAATATTGGATCCCGTTTCTAGCAGCATTTTGATGGCCTCTTTCCTTCTTTATTCAGTTGATCAAAAAACCCTAAAGAATATACAGACAAAATTACAATTTGGTTGAAAAGACAGTTGTTCGTGATAATGGCAGGTTATGCGTTTATGCCTACAGGGAATGCAGTGGTGTGTCCTTAGGCTTATAGTACACAGAGACATAAGGTGATGATGAACATAGCAGCCTAGAGTCACACTGCCTCCCCCACTAAACAAACAGAGACAGCTGCACAGGCCCATCATATACCTGAACCCGAGGCTCTGCTTTGATGACTGACTATCTGATAGACAAACAAAACTGAAATACTTCACAACCGTAAAAACCGCCGCAAAGGGCATTGTAGTCTGTCTGACCATGTACTGTATGTCAGTCAATGTCCAATAGATCCTACTGGGATTATTCACAGGTAAGTAATATTATATTAACTTTTCTATGGTGGCTAGGTGTTTTATTCCACTATCAGCCATGGACATAAACATATTCAATGTACTATTAGGGATGATCTAAACAACAGATTGCAAAGGCAAACAGACACACCATCTCAATTACAACTCAGAATTGCATTTCACTTGATCAGTGTTTACTTCAGTTTCAAGCAAGAAACATGGGAAAGGTTACATTTGCATGCAGCTGTATACCATATGGAAGTGGGAAGTAAGAACCGTAGTTTTCCTAGAGGGTAGACTATATAGCTGAATCTAACATACAGATGAAGTCGGAAGTTTACATACACCTTAGCCAAATACATTTAAACTCTGTTTTTCACAATTACTGACATTTAATCCTAGTTTTAAAAAAATCAGTTCTGCCCACACATTTTCTATAGGATTGAGGTCAGGGCTTTGTGATGGCCACTCCAATACCTTGACTTTGTTGACCTTAAGCCATTTTGCCAGAACTTTGGAAGTATGCTTGGGGTCATTGTCCATTTGGAAGACCCATTTGCGACCAAGCTTTAACTTCCTGACTGATGTCTTGAGATGTTGCTTCAATATATCCACATAATTTTCCTTCCTCATGATGCCATCTATTTTGTGAAGTGCACCAGTCCCTCCTGCAGCAAAGCACCCCCACAGCATGATGCTTCCACCCCCGTGCTTCACGGTTGGGATGGTGTTCTTCGGCTTGCAAGCCACCCCCTTTTTCCTCCAAAAATAACGATGGTCATTATGGCCAAACAGTTCTATTTTTGTTTCATCAGACCAGAGGACATTTCTCCAAAAAGTACGATCTTTGTCCCCATGTGTAGTTGCAAAGTCTATTTTTTTTATGGCGGTTTTGAAGCAGAGGCTTCTTCCTTGCTGAGAGGCCTTTCAGGTCATGTCGATATAGGACTCGTTTTACTGTGGATATAGATACTTTTGTACCTGTTTCCTCCAGCATCTTCAAAAGGTCCTTTGCTGTTGTTCTGGGATTGATTTGCACTTTTCGCACCAAAGTACGTTAATCTTTAGGAGACAGAACGCGTCTCCTTCCTGAGCGGTATGACGGCTGCATGGTCCCATGGTGTTTATACTTGCGTACTATTGTTTGTACAGATGAACGTGGTACCTTCAGGCGTTTGGAAATTGCTCCCAAGGATGAACCAGACTTGTGGAGGTCTACAATTCTTTTTCTGAGGTCTTGGCTGAATTCTTTTGATTTTCCCATGATGTCAAGCAAAGAGGCACTGGTTTTGAAGGTAGGCCTTCAAATACATCCACAGGTACACCTCCAATTGACTCAAATTATGTCAATTAACCTATCAGAAGCTTCTAAAGCCATAACATAATTTTCTGGAATTTTCCAAGCTGTTTAAAGGCACAGTCAACTTAGTGTATGTAAACCTCTGACCCACTGGAATTGTGATACAGTGAATTATAAGTGAAATAATCTGTCTGTAAACAATTGTTGGAAAAATTACTTGTGTCATGCACAAAGTAGATGTCCTAACCAACTTGCCAAAACTATAGTTTGTTAACAAGACATTTGTGGAGTGGTTGAAAAACGAGTTTTAATGACTCCAAGTGTATGTAAACTTCCGACTTCAACTGTACCAGGCAGTTGCAGCCCCACCAGCTGTAACCTACACGAGGGAATATACTACATCTACTATATAGGCTTAAGCATTGAGTCAACGTAAAAACAAACTCGCCACTATACTAATAAAATTATCTCACACACTGAGACCCAAGATGGCGGTAGTTTTACAAAGGGCTTATTCAGCAGCATTTAACATTCCCTTAGCTACTCCTTAGAGACAATGAAGTGTTCTCTCAATGACAAACAGAGCCAGTCAAACAGGTGAGGCAGAGAGGTGAACCCATTTGAACAGTCAGTATGTCATGAGCTCACTTGATCGGAATGGATGAGGGATTGAGATAAATGACAGGGAGATGGAGTGGGTTGGAGGTGAGCCGGCAAACCAAACTTAGAGCGAAGGACAAAGAGAGAATGTGGAACATTTTTTATTTTTCCATACAACGGCAATAAAACCCACTCCACACATAAAAAAGATGTGACAGTGTTATCATATCCACCAAGTTATACCGTTCTAACTACAAGGCCTACAGATAAAAGGAAAACCTGTCCTGACAGTTTGTTATAAAAGTAAAAAACTTGAAGTAAATAGACACTGCAGTGTTAAATGGAGTATAGCACTGAGCATTACTGAGACTATACAGTCAGCCATCTTTTTGTTAACACAAGACTCACCTAAGTTGTCCTCAGTACTGTCCCCAAACCCTCAGGCCTTTGGCACACAGCCAAGAGAACCACAGCCAATGATCTTACAATGGGCCAGGCCCAGCAAAACAGAAAATAGTCCAAAAGAGAGATTCTCTGAAAAAGTATAACGCTAGTCCCAGAATTGCTTGTTTCTTCCTTGAAGTCCTCAAATGTTGAATCAAACTACTGTCTAGACATATCCACAGAAAGCCCAGGCAGACTAAGTCAGAGAGAGAGAGAGGTGTACAGCTATGAGGGAAGACAGCTATGGCAGGCCTGTGATGGGACTCATTCAACCCAGATTTAAACCAAAGGCTGAGCACACTACTAAGTGACAACACCCAGTTAGTTTCAGGACCACACCCTGTTTCAACATCTAGACACACCCTCCCCTAACCACTCTGCCTCTCTCTGATTGGTTCAGCAGGAAAAGTGGGATTGGCCCTTGGTCGTCAGAGAAGGGTTGGGTATCTGAAGGTAGTATGTGAGGGAGAATCCAGTAGCGACCTCTGGGCCCAGTTTTTCAAAAGTTATCTGGATAGGATTAAATGCATATAAATAGAATGAATAGAACGGACAAATCATTGACATGAATGGGGACTCCTATTCTATTCATTCCATTAGGCAAAATCCAGATAGATATCTTTTGAAAAACTGGGCCCTGGAGAGTTTGAATGGCCTCTGTTAAATAATGGGGACCCATCACATAGCACGCCTGTATGTAACAAAAACTAACACATCCCATATAATAAAAATAATGACTAATGAAAATATAAACGATTGGAAACATATCTAGTTCTCCCATTGTTTGGGTCTCAACACAAAATCATTCTTTGATGTCCTAATTGCAAAGCATTGAAATTCTGAATAAATCGCTAGCAACAATATAATTCAAGTCATGTTTCTCTTGGCATTATCAGTGCATGTTAGTGATATTGAAGTTTGAGAAATGACCTTTAGCCAGTCATCATCATAATTACTAATGCTCCTATAATTCCAGTTTCCATTAGTATCATTATCCATCTTTTCTCATTATTGTAATTCTAATCATCATAATCATAAACCCAATCATACACCCAGAGTCAAGGCTAAAGGTGAATAATAATAAGGGGGGATATGAGAGGGAATCATGGGGATGTAATGTGCCCATGTCGCCCTAACCGGCAACAGGCGTGGAGGCTAGGATTAAGTTCACGTCAGTCCCACCTACACAGTCACAATATGACAGGTTCTACTAACTTCCAGTAGCTCTGGTTCTACCTGTTCCTCAGGCACGGAGAACTGACAATGGGTGTTGTGGTGAAAGAGGGGGCCTTGAAATTGAGTCCTTCATTCTTACATTGGGATGAATGGCTGACTGGAATTAGAAGAATCTGGGCACGAGCAGAGTGTACAGACAAAAATGTAAAACACATTGACAACTGTGTCGGTTTACACAGTGCTTTAGGACTTTCCCTGGGGGAAAGCACATGGGTGGGTATACACTGTGTAAAAGGCCATATACCCTCGCCATTACGTGATGATGACCTGGCTGTTTCGACATGATGACACATCATAGGAATGAGAGCATATTTATCTTACTGAGTTGCCATGTTCAAATGTAGGCCTACAGCCAGTGTGTATTTGAGACAGAGGAGAGGATGATGAAGTGAGATGGGGCAAGGGGAGAAGGAGGAAGACGCCACCACATCTATAAGTGAAAATGTGATAGGAGCAGACCAAGGAACAATCACACCTAAACAAACACCCTAGAAACACCAACCAGACAGGGTTAACTACACATCACAGATCCCCCCCCCCATTAATTAATTCATTCATTCCCTTAATATTTCTTTCTAAGTCAGATACACCTCTTCCCTGTGGGCTGAGGTTTTGGGCAAATCGCCAACATTCAGAGGGCAATCACTCTCTCATTCCTCTTTTCAGCATCCCTCTAGATGGGGAATTGACTGGACCTGTAGTCCCACACCGCGTGTAGTTGTCAGCCACAATAGGCCATCAAAAACATGGGTACTTTCCGCTCATTTAAAAAGGTACAATATGTACACATGTTTCATTCAAATAGCTCTAAATGGCCATTATTAAGTGGCAATGATCAGAGAATAAAATGCTTTGAAGATTACATGATAATTTCAGACCCCAGGGTTGCCTCTCTGACCGCTGCTGGAATAATAGTGGTCTGGTACGATTTGGCGGGAAAATTGGCACTGCGTGCTCTCACGTAAGAGGCATGGCCACGCGGTTGCTAAACTAATCGTCACGCAATCCCTTCTAAAAGTCAGTGTATGAGTCAAGAAACCTGCCTATTTTCCTCAAAAGTACATA